AAAAAAAAAAAAAAAAAAAAAAAAAAAAAAAAAAAAAAAAAGGTCTCCAAACCCTCTTCATGGGGTGGAGCCCCTCCCCTGTAGAAAAACCACTGGCTTCCTAAGGAAAACACTACCAAATCCCCGATACCCGCTTTCCTAAAACACCGCAACGAAATCCCTCATTAGGGTTTCAATTAATTTCTAAAACCAAAGCACTACAAATTTCATAAAGAGCACCACAACAAAATTCCTAATTAAGTCAGAAGTCCCAATACTCTCCATAACCCTAAAGAACACAAAAAATCATAAATTATACGTTAAAACAGTTTGTATTTGTTGCCTAAAGCGGCAATCGTAATTCCAATACACCATCATATGAAAACACTTTTAGAAAAAGGCAGATGAAAATTCGAACTAAGACCTACCCTAAGAAAGGAAATTAGCAGGAAAAAACGAAGAAGAAACTCTACTATGAACGTGAAGAGTATCAGTGACCAAAAAAAAAAAAAAAAAAAAAAATTGAAAATCCAAAGTCTATTAACCTCATAAGATGAAATAAAATGTCAAGACCACTCGTCTTCAGCAAATCAGCACATGGCTTTCCTTGACAAAGGAGCAAGACGTACGGGAAACCATAATTCCCCTGGCCAAGCGACTCAGCGTACAGGAAACCCAATCAGTGCTAATCAAGGAAGCTCACAGCTGTCTCGATGGAAAGAAAAAATTTGGCATCATCAAAATGTTGTTGAAAAATAAAGCTCCATATCTGAGACCAGCAGCGCCAATCGCGCCCTGATCTTGGTTGCATATAGCGTATAACAGGAGAGATGCACCAGCGCTCCAAGTATCCATTTATCACACACAACGTGCCACACCCACCGCTAGCAGGCACTCCTCCTCGGGGCATGCCGGACAAGCTCCACATCCACAACGCATAGACATGGTTGCCATGGGCCCCTAGAGCCGACTAGGTATGGTGGCCTTAGCCTGGGCAAAACCCTAGCTCTAGCGCCAGCAACTTTGGGCACTCAGCGCTAGGTCACTTAGCGACGCGCCGCTGTTAGTGCCTCCCCTGGCAGCGCGTTACCGCAGCGCTAACGCACCGAAATGATCGATCGTTCTTCTCTCAATACAAGTCACTTTCAGGAGCAGAGCTACATTTCACTTAGAACTTGGAACGTTGAGTAAGGCCCTTCAGGTGTTAAAAAAAAAAATCCAAAAACAAAAAGCCAAACAGAATGCTCCCCGTAATACTCTAATGGCAATAAAAAAGGCCGTCCTGTCCAGATTTGACAGGTAATTGAATTGGTTGGGCTTAAAGAATACCTTTG